TGGGCCGTGAATGCTGGTGGGGAAACGACTCCCGCTGCTGCAGCCCGGCGGGCGGGTAGTAGGATCTGGTCCAGAAGCACATCCGGGCCCTCACTGCTTGATTTTACGCCTTTAACTAACTAGTGCCATAAAGCGCAACACGGCTTCGCTTCTTGCTTAGCTGTCCCCTCAGCTCCGGGAAGCAGCAGGGGATTTCCAGGTTGTTGCAGGTCGAGTTTCTGCTTCAGGCAGAAATCGGTTTTAAGCCTCCAGTTTTAAGTTTTAAACCGGTTTTAAGCCTCTTTTGTTTTTAATGCAATTTCAATCAGCTAGTTTCTAATAGAAAATATTTGTAAGTGAGTAGCTTACAGAAAGCAATCTGGACGAAAACTTAGGCCCCGTTTCCTTGCAGCGCCATCTCTAGTGCCTCTCTTTCTCCTCAGTGATGGAAAGGCACGCAAGCCAAGAGTAATTCCCAGGAGCTTGCTAGTTACAGGCTTTTTCTATGTGCGAGAAGTGGCACCACTTCAACTTAATATTAAAAAATTGTGCGCATCCTCCATTTATTGTGAACCTAGTTGCAGTGATGCGGTTCATGCCCTGCATGGGTAGGTGGAAACTCTGGGAAGGGAGGAGAAAGTTAAGCCATTCAACCTCCTTAACAAGTCATGATCTGACTGGTTTTCTAATTACGGATCTAACTAAATTTTTCTTCATACATGAGAAATGAATCAATGTCTCTTTAGATGGCACCATTTTAATTGCAGTCATTGTGAAGTTATTTAAGTGGGCGAAAACTTGTGGTGTTTACAGTATTTCTTGACTCATAAAACTCCAGAGCAGGCACATATATTTTGAAGTTTATGCAATTTTCAGAAAAAAAGGTTTAGTGAAGACAGAGCATATAATTAAACTGGGTTTTATTCATGCACACAGTATTTGACAGCAACCACATGCTCATACACATATGCACATACATAAGGACTGATCTGAAACCTCACACTTCTGTAGGAGTGCTGATATCTATGGATATTTTTTAAAAATACCGTGACAAAACCTCCCTTCGGAGGTCTTATCCTTTCCTAAAGCATAGGCCAGGCTCTGTTTTTATCCTTGAAGCCGAAGTTAAAACTCTGGAAGACATTGGGGTCACTTAGTAACGCACATGCTGAAGGGCAGAATTCAGGTGCCCTTCCCTATACAGCTTCCATCCTATTTCTTCACAATAGCACTGCTTAATAAATTCAGCTTATCAGTCGAGTCTCTTCCCACCTGACTCTGAATCCGCAGGGGCCTGTCCATTCCCTGTAGACTCACACAGCTCAGGCCACCTGCCTGGGAGTCAAACCAAGGAGAGCAGAGATCTGCTTGCGGCAGGAATATGTTTCACAGGCTTTATGCCCGGCAGCATTTGTATGTCCTGGGCTCTCACCATCATTACAGAAACTTTTTCAGGCACCACCTTCCTTCCTGTAGGTCTTTCTGGCTTTTACGTAATTGAGGGCTGGATTCACCCTACCTGCTGTGTAGTACCTTGAAGGCAATGTTTGAGCTACAGCTCCTCTGAGCACCCACGCTCCCATGAAGTCCAGAAGTAGCTACGTTTTCTCCCATATCTTCTCCGTGACATATCAAGGCCTGCTCATGGACATTCCTGAACCCTATAGAATGATGCCTGAACTCTCAGATCTGCAAAATAAGTAGAGCTAAAGTTAGCAGGCTTGCAGAGCTCAGTTTGTTGGGCATTCACCAAGCACGTCTGCTCAATCAAGACCTAAGTAACGGCAGTGTTAAATACGGCTTCTTTTACCTACTCTCTTAGAGCAATCAGCCAGGGTGCTTTTGTTTTCTTCCCTTATTAGAGGGGATGCTAACCTCGGGAGAGGGTTATTCAGAAGTGGAAAGGTACATTCAGTGTTTCCTGAGAAAGTAGTTTTTGATTTTGCATAGAATAATTAAATATTTCTTGGTCCAGAGAGAGGGGTTTTTCAATTGGGAGGGGAAAGCTATGGGGAGTCCCTGCCTCATTCACTGTCTAATGAGAAATACATAAGCTTTGCTTGGAGCAGAGACTGGAAGACAGGTCTTCTTTTTCAGGAATTAAGAGCTTCAGCCACTTTACTTAACGGCCCACAAGGCCCCTACCGTGATGTTCAGTGGCTTGCCTGAAGGAGGGCCATACAAACGCAAACCCATGCAGCTCCTTTAAAAAGCCTGTCACAGTGTGATAAAATGTCAGCAAAATGTTATACCTATTATAGCTTCACTGGATGTAGCTGAATTATGGAAAGTTAGGATCTACGGTAACGTGGGCTACTATAACCAAACAGTTTCTGGTACCTACAGTAATTTGGATGCCGTCGCTGCGCCGGCTGTGCAGCACTGATAAACCCTTGGCGGTCACACACCAGGCCTTCAAATATATTTCAGCATGTACCTGCCATTGGTTTTAATAGAAGGTGGACATGTAACAACTACCTTTGAGGGTCTGCTTATTTATGCTTTTTAGTGCATCTATTCACTGTGGTAGTAAGCTATTTAAAAAATTTCAGAAGTTTTTCAATGATTAATTTCCTTCAACGGGATATTGTTTTCCCCTGGTGCTTTGACAGGTGGAGGTCAACATGTTTTTGTCTGCCAAGTAGCTTGGGGGAGAGAATCGGTCACATGATGTGTAAGAGGCTGGTTTAAAAACAGTCTCCCATCAGATAGGAACTGGTCTCTGCAAAAAAAAAAAAAAAAAAAAAATTACACTGGGGAATGTCAACTGAAACCACAGACCTGTGATGTGTTAAACATAGTTCAAGCATTCTTTGCGAGTGGAATCAAATAAAGCTTATTTTGATTAGTAGGATGTTTTGCATCAGCTATATTCCAGCACTTTGAGAAAAAGGAATTGGGCTCTCAAAACATCCTTTCTTCTGCCATTGCATGAAAGAGGACTACTTCTTTCTCCTCCTTTCTGCGGTTGACGCAGTGAGTGCTCTCTGCACTGTCTCAATCATTTTCAAGCTGGTATCCCAAAGTGAAACACAGAGTGCCAGGGTATGGTCAAAACAGTTTGGGTCCAGCAAGACACTGTCACCAAACTAGGTTTTCCCATGGCCAAGGAGGAAGGGGGAGAGGGATTTGGATCCACTTATTAGGAAAGTGTAGTTCACGATTCCTTGAGAAAAGAGACAATTTATTTAGATACTAAAATCTGAAATCTCATTTTCTGTTCTAAACTTAGGTAAAAGTAAGTCCTTAGCCTTAGTGCAATTACATCATCAGAATTATAGAAATGCAGAGAACTTCACTCATCGTTCCTTTACCTAATTAAAACACTGATCTTCTCCTGCTGCATATGGCTGGGAAAGGCATTAGGAGCCAGTCTTCCTGTCAGAGACAGTTCAACGTCAGGCAATCAGAAGAGAAAGTATAACCTTCAATTTAGATGCCAAAGTGTCCATTTAAATTCCAGAATATAGCTTAAAAATTTCTTGCTCCCTTTGGCTGGTGATTGCAAAGGAGGTGTGCAACGAACTCCTAATTAGTCAGAAACCTGGTCTCCAGCTAGAGGCATAGAAAATAGCTTGTGGCTACTTTTAGGATTAATCGCCAAAAAGGGTTGAACTAAGAGGAGTGAGACAATTGCAGCAAGCTTCCAGCAGATGTCTCTGCTATGCAAT